CTGCACCCCCTTATATGGCCCAGCGAGTGGAACCGGGCCGGCTGATTGGCTCGCTTGCTGTCTGCTCTAATGGGGAAGTCGCACGGGCGTTGATCTGGCAAGCGCGCCCGTGCACCTGCCGCCGGCTTTGATCCACGAAAACCTGTGTGATCCGCCGCTCACCGCCCTCGCCGAGCCTCGCCCTCATAAACAACCATCCAGCCCGGCCTCACTATTCCCATTATCAGTCATCACCATCTCCATCTCCATCTCCATCAGCCTCAACCGCCACTCCACACATACCCCAACCTTCAACTCAACTTAACTCCCTCCCCCCCCCCCACACAACACTTCATCATGACTGGACGTGAGTACCCCTCTTCCTTCACTTGCCTTGACGCGTCTCCATTTCTACATGGAAGACGCGTCTTGATTCTGTTGTCACTACTACTTCAACTACAACATACTGACGCATTCATAGGCGGCAAAGGTGGCAAGGGTCTCGGAAAGGGTGGTGCCAAGCGTCACCGCAAGATTCTTCGCGACAACATCCAGGGTATCACCAAGCCCGCTATCCGCCGTCTGGCGCGTCGTGGTGGTGTCAAGCGTATCTCAGCCAGTATGTATTCTCCAGTATTCGCCTCATCAAACCCAGTACTAATAGCTCCCAGTGATCTACGAGGAGACCCGTGGTGTTCTCAAGACCTTCCTTGAGGGTGTTATCCGTGATGCTGTCACCTACACTGAGCACGCCAAGCGCAAGACTGTCACTTCGCTCGATGTTGTCTACGCACTCAAGCGACAAGGCCGCACCCTGTACGGTTTCGGTGGTTAAGCGTTTCTCTTCACGGTTTTCATGTTACGACTTCTGCCGGCTGCTTCGGTTTACGGTCGGTTTTGCTGCTTGGTGGGATGGTCACAGCCTTGTATAGTAGGCTCGGAGTTTACGGTCACATCAGTCTGGGATCTGATTTTCATGGAATGATACCATAATCCTTCAAACATTCAATGCCTGTTCACTCCGTCTTTTTGTGATGTTGCCTAATCGTGCATGGTAAATAGGTGACTTGTCGTTATCGCTGTCATTGTTACATCCGTCTTCCTTTGTCATACTAGCGTACCCACCAGCATGTCTCGTAGACGCGTCCGCTTTCAGTCATGACCTAGACCCCTTCTCGAGCAGAGTATTTTCAACCATGGATTCGTGATCGTGTGTGCGATGAGGTTGGAACTTCATCTCAACTCTTGTCGTCCTGCACCTTCCATCGTGTGTGATGCGAGTACCCCAATCCTATTCCCGGTTCTGACGTAGATATGCCTCACTTCTCCATGGCAACTTCCCCACAGCGGCAACATGGTCCAACACCCTCGACATCAATCCGCACAACGCATGCGCGCGTGATATCCCTCAACATGGCCCTTTCCCCATCTCCTAGAGCCTTGTTCTTCGACGTCTTCGGCAGCTGTGTCGACTGGCGCACCACCGTCGTCGGAGCCCTGGAGATGCAGGCCCATGCAGCACTCAACTCGGCAACAGCATCGCTAGCCTCTAGCGTCCGCCTGCAGGCTTCAGACATGACGACGAAGCAGTGGGGGGTATTCGCTCAGCAGTGGAGGGATAGCTATAAGCGGTTTACCACGTCCCTGGCAGATGACCCGTCGTTGCCGTGGGTGTCGGTGGATGAGCATCATTTGAAGTCGCTCAGAGAGCTTGTGGCGGAGTGGAATCTAGAAGGCTTATGGGACGATGTGGAGTTGCGAACGTTGAGCCTGATCTGGCATCACCTTGTACCCTGGGATGATTCGGGCATGGGCGTGGCGCTGTTGAATCGCATGTGCAGTACGTATCAAATGATACGCTGATTCATACGTGCAAAACACTGACCAGACCAGATACCTGCACTTTATCCAACGGTAACATCAGCCTGCTCTCAGATCTTCGGGCGTTCAGCGACATTCCTTTTACGCATCTCTTCTCGGCTGAGATGTTTGGTACCTACAAGCCATCTCCCAAGGTGTACCTAGGAGCCGCAGAGAAGTTGGGTTTACCACCACAGCACTGCGCAATGGTTGCCGCTCACTTGAATGATTTATATGCTGCGAAGCAGTGTGGCCTGCAAACCATCTATGTAGAGCGTCCGGGTGAGGAGGACTGGAGCAAGGAGGATGTTGCAAAAGCTAGACAGGAGGGCTGGGTTGACTTGTGGATTGATGGGAGCAGTCAGGGCTTCATTACTATTGCTGAGAAACTTGGGATCCATGTTAATGGGTCCAACGAGGGGAGGCGGTTGAGTTCGTCTGCGCCCATTGGGGTTGCGTGAGATGCGTAGCATGCAGCGCATCTGCTTTGCCGTCAGTCGTATACATACATGGGTTCTAATACCACTCGAATTTATTTGTAATATCATAAATCTCTTTTACCTTTAATCCGCTTGCTTTGATAAGTTGTACCCACTTCAATATACATTTCACACTCTACATATTCTCAACTCCCGCAAACACATATTTCACAATTCCACTAACCCACCAATACTATTCGAAAAATCACAATACAACACCACACCCATCAAACCACTCCAAACTCATACAATCGATTGAACTCACCCTACCCAACACCCTACAAGCATTTAAACACCCATGTACAACGTTGACGTTGTCTGCGACGCCATCATGCGCACTGGGGTAGACTCGCACCATTCTTGCCGGTACAACACCACGACACGCACTCGCCCCGCACAATGAGTACTGTCTTTAAATTACCAGATTCTCGTTGGTTATATATATAAGCGTGTAATCGATGCTATGAAACGCGGTATACGCTGGTAATCTTGATGCGCCAGATGGTAGTAGTAGTCAACGGTAAATCCACATGTACATGTACATGAACCGTACGGTGCCAATACCGAAATCGTCGCGCACGCAACCCCCCCAATAACAACACCATGCCCAACAACAAACGATACCAACACTCCCCTTCTCCAAACCCCCCCCCCCCCCCAAAATCTACAAAATACAAAGAAGGTGACATATTCCTGCTTTTCCAACTTCCATAACACATGTATATATATATACCATCCACCCACCCGTCCATCCATGCACCGCATGCATCGCATGCATGCATCCCCTTCCCCGCCCCAATCACCCCCCACACGCCCGTCCCCGCAGCCCTGAGAAAGAATCCACTATACCCGACCCAGCCATCCCCCCCCCCTCCAGCCTCGGCAACGAGCGCCAGAGTCGCGCTACGACGGCTGAGCTCCGCAGGCCAGGCGTTGCGGGTTTTCCTTTGGGCCGGATGATGTGTCGGTTATGTTGTGGTATGCCTGGTATGTATGGTAGTTGTATGCCGTGGAGTGGGAATGGGAAGACAAGACAAGATAGCTGGGTGATGGTTGATTTGAGTGGGTGAGGGAGTGAGAGATCAACAGATAGCCTGATTGATAGATCAAAACCCCCACCACTGCTACAAACACCAGTTCTATCTCCATCGCCATCTCCATCTCCACGTATCCCTCCCCCTTCCATCCTTCCATCCTTCCTCCTTCCTCCACCCTTCTACTCCCATCCCCTCCCCTCCCCTCCCTCCAAACTTGCAAAACCCCTCCCCAACACTCCGGTGCGCGAGGCCAAGGGAAGCAGGTGAGGGTGTGCTTGTTTATATTTGGGAGGTCGATCGGGGTTTGGACGTGTTGCTGTGTATTTGACATACACGCTTAGCTATCTTTTACCTACTCTGCATAGCGCTGCTTTGGAACGAAACGAAACGAAACGAAACGAAACGCAACGCAACGCAACAAAAAGGAACGCAGCGCAGGGCTGTGGAAAGTCATCCTTGGCCGCCATCGAACTCCATCCCCTCCCTCTACAAACCCCCAAAAAGAGCAACCGAGCGACGCGACTCGACATAACGAAACACCCAAATTACAGCGCGCGCGCCACTTCACCCCTCAACCTCCCCCCCAACTCTCCTCCGCAAACATCTCTAACCATGGCTCCCTCAAACCCGCCATCACCACCTCACCCCCAAGACCAAGTCTACACCGCCTCTCTCAAAGACCCCGAGACATTCTGGCGCCGTCAAGCGTCCACCCTGCACTGGCACACGCCGCCCACGCTGGCAATCCAAAAAAGGACAAAGCACCTACCCAGCCTAAACGTCCACCACCCGCACTGGTCCTGGTTCCCCGGCGGCGAGCTCTCGACAACTTACAACTGCGTGGACCGGCACGTGGCGGCGGGAAACGGGCAGAATGTGGCCATCATCTGGGATTCGCCCGTGACGGGCGCAAAGGAAAAGTACACGTATGCGCAGCTGCTGGTAGAGGTCGAGACGCTGGCGGGCGTGCTGCAAGAAGAAGGCGTGAGGCGGGGCGACGTGGTGTTGATATACATGCCCATGATTCCCGCCGCGCTCTTTGCCATGCTGGCTATTGCGCGACTGGGTGCCATTCATGCAGTCGTGTTTGGGGGATTCTCGTCTGCGGCGCTGGCGCAGAGAATCGAAGCGAGTCGGCCGACGGCGATTATGACGGCCTCGTGTGGGATCGAGGGAGGCAAGGCGCCAATGGGGTATAAAGCCATGATTGAAGGCGCGGTGGAAAAAAGTGTCCACAAGCCTAGTAGAACAATCGTCTGGCAGAGAGACGAGTTGCGATGGGATCCCGTGGTCAAGGAAAATGGGGAGAGGAATTGGCAGCGCTTGGTCAAGAGTGCGAAAAACAGAGGATTGAAGGCTGGTGCGGTACCGGTCAAGAGTGAAGATGGACTGTATATCATCTATACGTCCGGTACTACCGGCCTCCCTAAAGGAGTCGTCCGTTCTGTGGGAGGGCATGCTGTCGGCCTCAACTTCTCCATGAAGTATCTATTTGGCATCCATGGGCCGGGAGACGTACAATTCACTGCATCCGACATCGGCTGGGTTGTCGGTCATTCGTACATTGTGTACGCGCCTCTACTCGCGGGTGCTACTACCGTCTTATTCGAAGGCAAACCGGTCGGAACGCCGGATGCCAGTACCTTTTGGCGCATTATTGAAGACTACAAGGTAACAACCATGTTCACGGCCCCGACAGCCCTGCGAGCCATACGCCGAGAGGATGGAGAAAACAAGTTCTTTGGGGAAAAAGGGAGCAAGGGCGGTCTCCGATCGCTGCGAGCCCTCTTCTTGGCCGGCGAAAGAAGCGAGCCGAGCATCGTGGAGATGTATCAACGACTGTTGTCGAAACACTGTGCTCCCGGCGCTCTTGTCGTCGACAACTGGTGGTCATCTGAGTCTGGCTCACCAATTTCGGGCATCGCACTCAGCGCCTCGGCCGGCCTGGACTTTTCCTCGTCCGAGCGACCCAAACCACTTCCCATCAAACCCGGTTCTGCTGGCAAAGCGATGCCAGGCTTCGACGTTCGCATCGTCGATGACTCGGGCAAGGAAGTCAGGCCCGGGGAGATGGGAAACATCGTCATGGGCATACCCCTGGCACCTACTGCTTTCACCACACTGTGGGAAGACGAGGAACGGTTCTACAGGGGGTATATGAAGCGATTCGAGGGAAAATGGATTGATACGGGCGATGCTGGCTTGATCGACGAGGAAGGTTACATTTCCATCATGGCCCGGGCTGACGATGTGATTAACGTCGCAGCGCATCGTTTCAGTACTGGTGAGTGTGGTCTAGGGCGTCCATGGTATCGTCATCTGACTTTTTTTCTAGGTGCGATTGAACAAGCCATCACAACTCACCCCTCTATCGCCGAGGCTGCTGTGGTGGGCATACCAGACGCATTGAAAGGGCACCTGCCTTTTGCCTTTGTCACCCTTTCGACACCAGACCACCCCGAGTCTGCCGTGGCCGACGACAAGCTCATGGCCGAAGTGCAGAAATTAGTGCGCGAGCAGATTGGTGCTATTGCCTCGCTCGGTGGCATCATCCAAGGAAAGGCGATGATACCAAAGACAAGGAGCGGCAAGACGCTGCGGAGGGTTTTGCGGGAACTTGTAGAGAATGCGACGCACGAAGACTTTGACAAGGAAGTCAACGTTCCCAGCACGATTGAAGACCGAGAGGCAGTACGGGTGGCGCGGGAGAAAGTTCGCGAATACTTTCAGGTCAGAGGCAAGAACTTGCACAAGGCCACAGAGGCGCGTGCGAAGCTGTAGAATACCATCTAGGTACCATGGTATGCTGTGGCGCGCATCATAATTCATGTCGTTGTGATGTTGCCCAGCTGAGAAGAGAGAGAGAGCATAGCTCAACGCATTCCCAGTTTGGTCAATGTGGGCCTCAACTACCACGTGTTTATGATGACCCTGATCGCCAATATATACATGCAGCCTCGATCAGGGTAAAACATCCAGAGTGGTACCTGCTGTGGACATCGCATGACAAGGTGAAGTGAGCAGATGCTGTGGCCAACCAATACGAGCTATCTTTGTGCTCTGCGGTGTCTTGCACTTGGTGGAAGGCAAGGCCTCCCGTGGATGATGGTGTTCTTCCACGGAGACGAAGCATTCCCCCCCCCCCCCCTCCTCTGTGCCGAAATTTGGATCTACTCGTCGATCTCGCAACGTCAACTTGTCCTTCCTTGAGAGTCGAGAAGAGGGCCGTCTCGTATCTGCGTCTCCACCGGATGAATGCGTTGCTGAAGGCTGTCAGACCGCAGCGGCCCGTTCCCCGTGCCAGTGCAGACGATGGATACATACTGGTATGTACTTGCAAGCTGCCATGTCCAACGGCTCAACGTCGAAAGCCAGAAGTGGTAAATGCAAGATATTGAGCACGGCCCCTGATTGTTTCGACGTGGAGCACGCGTTTGCAGGCATTTTTTCTTGTTTTGTTCGGATGGCTAATCACATGTTCGGGACCAGCTGCGGGTGAGATGCGAGCAGACAAAGCGTCCGCAAATGTCCCGGGTATGGCAGCACATGTGCTGCGCTTCGACCGTCCCGCCGACCTGGAATGGGTGGGATGGTTGGAGGTCGCAACTGGCAAGGTCTCCCCGTCCGCTTCTCTGCCCAGCGAGCGAGCCTTATGGAGCCGGTGATCCTTTGAGGTTAAGGCCAACGCACGAGGTAGCTTGGTAGTGCGCGGCAGATGGTCGTCAGTGGCTGCTGCCAACGAGCACTTACGCCCTGCAAGGCAGCTTACCTGTGATGGGCCTCGCACCCCCATCTTGGACTGATTAGCACACGGCGGCAGGCTGCGTCGACGGCGACTGGCGGCAGACGGTAGCGGAAGAGGACTTCCCTCTGTTGGTCCCAGTGCTGCTGCCGTCGGCTCGGGACTGGACTTGCTGGAGGCCATGCCAAGTACCCGCCGGCTCTGTTTTGCGGGACGGGGCCTGGTTCCCCGAAGCACGCACCCGCCCCAGCGTCAGGACTCAGGCAAGGCCAGCCCAGAGCCAGCGCTGCCAGACTCAAGAGGGAGGTGAAACGGCTGGCGCAGGGCTCCCGTTGCAAGTTGGCTTTGAGGTTGGGCCTGTGTTGGCGATGCGGGAGACTGGGGGGTTGCGCGCCCAAGTCAGACGAGGGGATGGGCATGCCGTGTTGGCAGGACACGACGCGATGCAGGAGCAGCCATGGGGAAGGGGAGAATGCAACGCAGTACCGGTGCAGAACATGGCAGTCTGTATGAGGGCGCGGGTGTGTGTGTGTGTGTGTGTGTGCACTTTGATCGCAGATGTTGCATGCTGTTCGGCCTGTTCCTACAGAGTCGAGGGTGCATGTGTAGTGTGCGTTAGCTAGCAGGTCTGGCTAGTTTGGGGCGGGGGGCCTGTGCTTGTGTGTGTGTGTGTGTGTATGTGCACGATGCAGGCGAGGAGGTGGCACGGGTGGGTGGGACGCTTGTAGGTTAGGTACTGTATGTTGTATGTACGGTATTAGGTAGACAGACAAGCAAGGTGTGTATGAGTAGGAGCCTCGGAGGAAGATCCCATTTGGTTGGGAGTGAAAAGGCATGCGTCAACGAATGAATGGATGTCTGAAGGAATCCAAGAAATGGAAACACGACGGATGAATGGAGGTTCGACTACTGGATGCCCCTACTGGTACATAGCATCGTACTAGCATGTAAGGTAATGTAGTAGTCAGTTGTGGTATTACTCATGTACAGGGTCAGAAGAGGATAGGAAGGTTCAAGGTTTACTATGTATGATGCAGTCCAGTGGCCTTGACGCTGGTTCGTCAGGCTGGCAGGTGGTGAAAAGTATGGCTGCGGACAAGAAGATATGGTATAGACTTAGTACACACACAGTACACAAGACAAGACACGACAAGACAAGACAAGACACAATTGGGCTGTAGACTAAGTACAGATTGGCTGCTGGCTGCTGAATCTGACTATGGAAAGGCTCAATCTGGCTATGCAGTGTGCATGTGTGTGTGTGTGTGTGAGTGAGTGTGTGGACTGGCCACAATGGACATTGGCTGGATGGGCTCGCGTGTATTGGCCGATGAGCTGGTATGGATGTACTATGTCATGTACTATGTGTAATGTGTGTGTGTGTGTGTGTGTGCGTGTGCGTGTGCGTGTATTGTATGTGAGTTGGTGCGGGTGGAAGTGGGCGGCGGGCGTGGGCCTGGTGAGGAGAGGGAGGGCGGCTCTTGTCTCGAGGGGAGAGGAAGGGGGGGGCGAGAAAATTGTTCTTTTAATTCACCTTGCTATTATCACGATCCGCATGAATAGTATTAGTTATTTAATTTTTTCTTTCTTTCTTTCTTCCAATG